ACCGTCGAGTGACCAGGACCCCCTCATAAACAGCCGAAGACGGGACCACAGTCGCAGCAATGCTTCTGGAGGGAAAGACAAGGAAGCGGTCCAAGAGTCCTAAACGAAACCCAGCTAGGTTCAAACCCGGGACTGTACCAGATAGAACGGCCTCCAGATCACCAGATATCCGAACCCGGTAATCTGGAAAGAACCACACCCCTGGCGAGCAGACAAGTGGACCGACTGGGAGCCCACACCAGCCAGTCGTCTAGGTTGGCCAGAAACTGAATCCCGAGCAGACGCAGACAGGTCACCAAGATCCGATAAAGATGCCTAAAAACACTAAGTGCCAATTGCAAACTAGGGAAGATGCAAGATGTGAGGAGGAGGAGCTGTTGGTGTAGGAGAGGTGTTACTGTTTGGAAGGGGAGTCTCCTTCCATTATAACATCAGGCAGTGAGGACTTCACAGGTATGCACACTCTGGCACATTTTGCCTGCATTCCACTAGGACTTGCTTGTTTTACTAAGAATCTGTCTAAAGACACTTGTTTTTCCCTACATTTTAACACTTGTCTGTAGTAAGACATCACATTGTCATTTAAAAGGTCAATGCAACGGCCTGCTACAGCTTTATCTGGGTGCGTTTTTTCAACAAAACTTTGCAGTTCTTCCCATACTTCACACATTTTCTTAATCAAGAAGGGACATCCTCTACTGCCTCTACTCACAGTTATTTTCTTAGGTTGAACCTTACCAATGGCTTTCTTTAGACCCATGGCGAGATATATAATGACAACTTTAATGCTCAAATGGCCAAAAAACCAACAAAAAACTGTAAATCCTTGTAAAGAATTCAGGTGGGATAGTCACGGGGCGCGAGACACTGGTAAACTGAGGCGCGATCGCCGTGCCACCATGCGCTAGTCGGCCTGTACACATATCAACAAACTCTTGTTCCGAGGTAACCCTCGCCTTCCGAGGCACATTTTCCGAGCAAATCCTGCTCCTATTCCGAAAAACTCGTATTCAGGGACACTTGTATTCCGAGGTACCACTGTATAAGTATGAACGGATTTGCGTGTTTACAGGTTACAGTTGTGTGTGTAAACTAAAGTCTTTGAAAATGTAATAAGTTATTACAAAACGCGTTCAGGCGTCACGTCAGACTAGAAATAAAAATGAATTTTGGAGAATTGATTTTTCAATTACCATCGACAGTGATAAGAAGCATAAGAAATATTGAGAAAATTTGTGTTAGAATTATTAATCTTACCTTTTCGGTCATATTTAACAATATGTACATATATATACACATATATACATGCATACCTACACACACAAATTGTATAAAAACATAAATACTACATGCATAAATGTAATTAAAATTGAAACATAAATTAAAGAAAAGAAAAGTCAAACCGCCGACTGGTGGGCAGAGAGCACCACGCCGGCCATGCAAAGAAGGCACCAAGAGAGCACAAAAATTGTACCAAAAGGCCCACCTCGAAAACAAAAACCCAAAGCCCCGGCACAGCCACAACATGTGCCAGGACCCAAAAAGATCAGCCTGCCAGGAAAACCCCGGAACCCCAGAAAGCAGAACCGGGTCGCAAACGAGGTAACAAAGCCCCTTGAACCCAAAAGGGGGCCCAAGAGGAAGAAACCTCCAGAAAGAAACCAAAGACCCAAGGGAACCTGGGAGAGCCCAAACTACCACATTTGCTGGTGGAATTGCACCACTGAGGGGCAAAGCACAGCACCCAGACAGAACCCCCAGGGAAACGTCCAAAACAGGCCAAAAACCGAGGGACAAGGTGTGGGAGCAAACGTAAACAGACAGGGTCACTGAGCCCAAACCCTAGGGCCCAGACCCAAAACACAGAAAACACAAAAATCGATGTAAAAACCAACACCCAAGTATTCCCAGAGCAACAGGCAGAACACCCCATAAAAACAAAGAAATGGAAACAGGAGGATAAGACCCCTAAAAGGAGGTGAAAACTCACCCAAAAATGCCAGCTCGCACACCCAGGCATCGGTAAACAAATAGCAGCGCTGCCAGTGGCCAGCGAAGAGTTATCCCCAGAAAGAAAATGGCCACCAAAACAAAGGAGTCGTGACCAACGCAATAGAGCCAAAAACACCCCAGCAAATGTGGGAAGCAAGCAGACTAGAGGGACAAAAAAACCTGCCCAGAAGCAGAAAACCCTGGCAGGGGCAAATAGCCCCAAAACTGCAAGCGGGCCTCCCCCACATCCCCTGGAACCCGCAACAGAGGCCCCGGGGCAGAGCCGTCCTCCACACCCTCTGCCCCAAAAGAAAAGGAAGAGTCCAGGGAATAGGCAGCAAAGATGGGCCGCTGGTAAGACCCAGAAGCCTTGGTAGGAGGAACAGGCTCGAAAACCTCCGTCCCCAACCCGAACAACACAACCCCCGAAGCCGCCCGAATCTCGGCACCAACTAAACCCTGCCCAGACCCCGAAACCCGCAGACGGTCAGGAGCCGGGAACAGGGAGGGAAAGGAGCAAACAGCACCTAACCAAAACAGGGTGGCCCTGGGGCATCCGGGTGGAAAACCAACCTAGCACGTTGCAGCAACCTAAACCGAGCTTGCAATGCGGATGCCGCCTGTACTCTGAACAGTAATAACATCAGGAGAGTACTGGAGAACAAGCAGAGAACACAACTCACAAGACTCCTGATCAAGGTGTCAGTGACCCAACAGGCAGCATGACGGAGGTAAAAGTAGTGACTCACCCTGAGACAAGGGCACAGCAACCAAGGAACCCCACACAAGATGGGATGGAACCCGAAAGACACATCCAATGGTCCACTGAGCACCGACAAGGTTTTCCAGGGCCCGTAGGCTGACTGCTACGGGAAGCCCGGGCAAGGTATTGCTAACCAGTTAAACACCCAAGCTAACAAGGGGTAGATGCAACACTGAAAACCCCTGCGACATGTACAATCACAGGGGCCTAGCAGAGGGCCACCAAACACTACTAGGGGAACTATAGCCACTAGGTAGACTCCCACCAGGCAAATTAAAATAAAAACAAAAGAAAAACCCCGCAAAAGTACACCGTCTCCAGAGGCAACAGGAACTGGTCGCCGCATAGGTGGCAGGCCACGCAATACCTTGATGTCCTAACCGGCACAATACCAGTCCCTACCCAAGGCCAAACAAGGGCCCCAAGCCCCAGTTGGCCCCATGGGCGAGGCAAATGCCGAGCAGCAAGAACCTCTACAGGAATGTTTCCCGAACATCCCAGGGAAGATAACCCTGTCACGCAGGGGCAGTACTCACAGGGCGCTTAGGGAAGGAAGACCCTAAGCGCATGCAGTCCAGGTACTGATGAGGAACACCTGGCCACTGCACAACACAAAAACACAGCAGTGAACGCCACGAAAGCAAACACCGCCTAAGAAACTGAGGCCAGAGAAGCGTCTGTCCCGGTTGACATTAGCTTACGAACTGGTGCTAGGTAGCTGGCGCGGTGAAGTCCAGGGCTCCCCCCCCCCCTCTTGGGGCGGGGAGAGCTGTGCGGACATGCAGAGCGGCAGTAAAGTGCGATGTTTGCTTGTTTCCTTGGGATTGTAGGGAGTTTCTACCTCTGTTCGGTTTTTGTTGTAGTTTCTTACCATGTGGGGTTTGTTTTGTTATGCCTACCTTTCTGGGTGCTTAACTCCGGTCGATGGCAGATAAGGAAAACCCCCTAACCACAAAGGGGGTTTTCCAGGACCATTGCTCCCTGAAACCTCTCTAAAGGAGCCAGGTTCTGGCGCTGGTCCCTTGTAGGTCTGAACTCTATAGATAGTGTCCCAGTTTAATATAACAAACACTAGCCCGTTAAGCTCCAGGGAGCCTCCAGGACTCACCCAGAAAATGGTGTTTCATTACATTGAACGCTGTTTTTTTCTGGCGAAGAACGAGTTGGCTGGCTTCTGGTGGGGTCCTGCGGTTATTGACAATTCATTGGTTTGGCCAGGAGTGTATTGTGTGCTGTATCTTGTGGCAGCTCAATGCCACTATTCTTGTGCCATCAATTCTGCTTCAGTGGATGCTTCATGGGTCCTGTTTCCTTGATTCCTTGTTCAAAGGCTCATGTTTCTCACCAACATGCAGTCTACCCTCGTGCCCATGATGTTTGGAAGTAAATGGCTGCTTTCATGGCTTTATTTACTAATATGTCCTCTGCCAATATTCAAGCACAGTTGTTGTGGAGATCTAACAGGGTTCTGATTGCCCAGTATTTAGTGAATGTTTCCAGACCTTGGCACCTTTGTGTGAACCCTTGTATCATGTCTCTTGTTCTGTGGTCTCTTCTTTGTCCTAGCTCATGCAATTCTACCTCCTCCCTGGTAAGTTACTGTGTTCTTTTTTCATGGATATTAAGCTTTGGGGAGCCACAAGGGTCTCCTCAAAGCTTAGTACCCTATTTCCCCTCCCTCTGTCCCTCCTTTCCAGGTTCTTGGGTAGGTTTTGTTTGTGTGTCCACTCCAGAACTGACTGCTCAGACCCCGGAAGGTGTTAAGCCTTCTGGGGTCTGAGGTTGAGACCTCAGGAAGGAAGGTTGAGACCTTCCCCTTTCCAAAATTAGTGAGAAAGATGAGGCAAATGAGCTCAACACTAGTTGTGAAAGATTAGATAATTTCGTTGTATACGTAGGGGAGTTCATTAGGCGGATCTCGAGGCTTGGGTCTCTTTTTGAACCCATCAGTTGTTTTGACTTATTGATTTTCTGGATGCTTTTCCTGGTGAGATAGCTTTATGCCACAGGTCAATGCAGTCCTGTGAGTGGGGGCCAGGTTCTGATTCTCGTTCCAGTTAGGGCTAAGAACTCCATGGCTGATGCAACTTAGTAGATGGGAACCATCTCAGTGTATAGCTTCTGGGAGCCACTGAGACTCACCCAGAAATTGGCATTTCATTACATTCAGTGCTACTGTTTTTCTTTTTAAATGGGGATTTTGTTTTTGGTTATTGACCAAAGCACTAACAACAATGCTTTACAGATGTGTTGGAGCTATTCAACATTTGAAAAACAAGTATGGGGGAGGATATACCTTGGAGATAAAGCTTAAACATAGAGACTCCTCTGCTGTGCTTAGAGAAATTGGTGCACCTCCAGGTCATTTTCAACAGTAAGTGATGCAATTTGTACCAAAAAAAAAACTTATCTATAGCCTATAGCTATAGCTATAGCTTATCAATGTGCCGTAGAAAAGATCCAACTTTTGTTTAATTTTCAAATGTTTTTTTATGGGGTTGGAGACATTTTGTGTAATAAATTAAAGATTGCTGTAAACCAAGAGGAGCTGTGTTATTAAGTTATTGATTATGTTGACATGCAGATGAAAATGTTTGGCATGTATGATTAATTGTAATATGACACCAGAGAAAGTTGGATATTTTACCTATGTATTTTACTTATGTACTTATTCGGTGGTTTGCATAACAAGGGCTATTTTGTTGGGAAGCCCCATCGGCTCCCTGGAGCTATTGGACCGATATTAGCTAATATTAGTATGGGGCTTCAGTCATATGGAGTTGTCATGCTTACCAGGGACCACTAGCCTAAACACTGTTCTCTCAGAGAGGTGCAGGGAGCAGTGTCCAATGAAACCCTCATATGTGAAAGTATTCATGTCTCCCTTCGACCTTTGGGTCTTGGGTCTTGGGTCTTTGGGTCTTGGGTCTTTGGGTCTTGGGTCTTTGTACCTTTGGTGTGGGGGGTTGGCAGTTCCTCAGAGTGGGGTTGTTCCTTCCCTCTGTGTTCCTGTTGTTTTCAGATATACCCCTCCCTGGGTTCGGTTCCACGTTCCTTCGGGTTCGTCGGTCCCGTCGTTCCTGGGAGTGTGTTTCACCCCCTTTTCCTTAACCTTTTCGCTCTTACGTCGCGATACTGCTCTCGGAAAAAAAAAAATCAACTGTATTCAGGTAAGGTACATCCATACAAGGTGTGAAACAAACATTGATGGATTTATATATTGACCTAGTACATAGTGCCTAAACCGCTTCGTATCGTTGTCCCTGCATGTTCCTTTTTTTTTTTTTTTTTTTTTTTTTTTTTTTTTTTTTTTGAGATATATACAAGAGTTGTTACATTCTTGTACAGCCACTAGTACGCGTAGCGTTTCGGGCAAGTCCTTAATCCTATGGTCCCTGGAATACGATCCCCTGCCGCGAAGAATCGTTTTTTTCATCCAAGTACACATTTTACTGTTGCGTTAAACAGAGGCTACAGTTAAGGAATTGCGCCCAGTAAATCCTCCCCGGCCAGGATACGAACCCATGACATAGCGCTCGCGGAACGCCAGGCGAGTGTCTTACCACTACACCACGGAGACTGCTTCCTTGGTCAGGGGTGGTTCTCGTTGGTTTGCGAGTCTCTTCGTACCTTCCAATATTGTTGGAACATCTGTTGATTTTTTATGTGGTTTCCCTCGGGTCTTTTGTCGGCCTTGTTGGTTCCCGTCCATCATATGTTTACTTTTGCTTCATTTTTGCCTTGTTTTGTTTTAGCGTCGTCTCTACTTCCAGTTTCGGCGTTCTTCGCCTTCGTTCCGCACGCCTTCCTGGTGTTTGTACGATGTGTGTTTCCAATGTGTCTGTACGTTGTGTGTACGATCTGTGTGTCCGCCTGGTGTACGAGCCACGCCTCCTGGTGGTACATTTCGTACCTCGTGTGTTGGGGCCGTGGTGTGCGTTTTGTTTACGGGCGGTATGCTCGTGTGTTCGCGTCGTTTCTCATGGTTTTCTACGGCTTCTTGCTCGTGTCTCCCTCCAGTCGTGGCCCTCTGGATGCTGAGGGTGTTTTGGATTTATATCTGGGGTGTCACTTCGTTCTTCCTCTGCTTCTTGGTGGGGGTTGGTTTGGCGTGGCGCCGCCTCCTCCCCCTCAGTACTGCTCCATCTTCTGCAGGGCGTGCGCCTCTGGCCGTAATTCTCCTTCGGCTTCCGCATTTTATTCAGGTAATGGTACATACTATGCCTACTGCCTCGCGTATGCATGGCTTTCCGGCACTCCTTTAGCGCTGCTCCTGGTATGTTACTTGGCTCGCCTATGTTGTGGCACGGTCGTGTGTCTGCTCTGCAGGTGAGGTTGTCATGCCTGGCGCTTCTGTGGGCCTCGTGCTGCTTCTCACTTTTGGTGGGGTGCTTGCCTTGTTGTGCTTGCAGGGGTTGAGCTCTGGCTCTTGGGCCCCGCCTCCTGTCAGTTGACGGTTGTGCAGTTTCCTGAGCCTCCTGGGCTCTGTCTTCTCTACTTTTGCTCCTGTGGTTGTTGTCTTCCACATGGCTTCTTGGTACATTTCGCTTCCTTTCCCCTCTGACATTGGTCAGGTTCTTTTAGTGTCTGTGGCTCCTTTGGGTGCTCACTTCCTCCTGTGTCCCCTTGTGCGTACGACCATACGGACATCAGTACAGAGGAACTGCTGCAGGCCTATTGACCTGTGCAAGGCAGCTACTGTTTCTTACCACCCATTCCCACTCACATACATGTCCAACCCGCCCTTGCACCATTCATGGGGCCCCACCACCGCGTTACGTGGTGATTGGTTCTGAGAATCACGTACCGGGCCTGTTCCCATGCCGGTCATTTCTTCGGTCCTTCCTGATTCTGCGCTTATCCCTTTTATGCCCATTGTTTCGTACTCACAATGTGCCGCAGGGTTGGCGTGTGGCTCTATCCCCGTTTCTATTGTTTTGTGAAGATTTGTGTCAATAGACACAAACACTGAAACTACCTATCTTTTGTTGCGTATACATTAGTTGTGGGTGATATTTGGCGAGCAATGGTGCGGGTTGGGCGCCCTGAAGTGTCGGTACGGTGTCTCGCATGTCGGTTCTCGACCACACTTGCAGGTAGACTAGTTCTTATTCGCTTCTCTGCTGGTTATATGCTTGGGCGACGCCTCACCATTCTCCAAGGTTGGCAGGAATTTTCCTTGGCCATACGGAACGGTTTGAGTTCCAACATTGGTGCTACGTAGAGCTTTGCTTCTCTCGTTAGGCTCATACATTTGGGGTGAGTATCTTATTGGGATACTCTACTCCCTCCGCCACCCTTGTTCACTGTTCCATCCTTGTTTACTCTTCCCCGCTTTGCGGGATTGCGTCGATGGCTCCTACCTGGGGTGTTTGGTGTGGTGTGTTTGGTCACTTCCCTGGAAACACAAACCGAAACTGTCTCTATTTTCCGCTTGTTACAACTTATAATAGAGTTGTTACATCTTGGCTTAACGTGTTTATGACGTATTTGAACGTTGTTACAACTTGTTATATTGGTTGTTATAACTGGTTAGGAGGTGTTAAAACTTGTTCGAACGTTGTACCAACGTCGTAGTTTCGGTGTGTGTTTGGAGGGTTTGCATGTGTCTTTAGTGCCTTTTTGTCCATCTTTTGTTCTTTGTTGTCCTGTGGGGCTCTGCCCCGCGTTTCGGTGCTTTTGTTTTTGTTGTTGACCTCTGGGTCTTTTCCCTGTCTGGACACTTTCCTTGCCTATCTTCGGTGCCTGACTGCACCCTGCTGTCCATGAGGTCCCTCGGGTATGTACGTGCTCCTCTACACATTTTGTGGTTGGTCGTGTGCATTACTTTTCGGTCTGCTGCTCCTGCCTTCCTGGTTCCTTTCCTTGGAACCAGGTTTGCTGGGTTCCGGTCCTGGTTCCAGTTTTTCTTTGTTCCTTTTCCGGACCGGGTGTGGTTGCTTTCCTGCGGTTCACGTCCTGGGTGGTTCTCCTCTTGGGTGCCTCGGGGATGCGTGCATCATTCTTCCCTGCTAAAGCTGGTTATGTTGCTCCTTTGGGTTGTGGGGTTACTGTTTTTCGATTCGCGTTTTGCGCTTTCGCTCGTGGTGTTAGTTTCTCGTCGTTTGTGTCGGCACTGGTGGGTTCGTTATTGGTCTCCCACCTGCATGTTTCATCTCGGGGCGGTGTGTGGTTTTCCTGGCGGTCTTTCCGGTTTTCCTATCACTGCAAAGGATCCTTCGGTCTTTGATAGGGTTGGCTTGTCTTCCCTTCGGGGTTGTTCTGGGACCGTCGTCTGGGATTGTCCTGTCACCTCATATTGGGTGGTGCTGGCAGGGCTGCTCCTGCTTGCGTTCAGTGTTGCGGTTCCTTCTGCTCCGTTCCAATTGCTGTCCTGGGCGTTGTTCCCTTCTGGCCTGCTCTTGAGTTTTGGTGCCGTCCTGGTCATTGGCCTGGGTGGTCTTTTTCTTCTCGTTTTGGTCTTTGTTTTGTCTCTGGTTTTGGTTGTTCTGTTAGGACGTGTGGTATCCGCCTCCCGGTTCCTTCCCTGTTTGACTTATCTGTCGTGAGGTAGCTCCGGGGAGCCGACGGGGCTCTCCCCAGAAAACCAGCGTTGAATGTAATGAAACATCATTTTCTGGGTGAGTCCCGGAGGCTCCCCGGCATCCCTCCCTCCCTCCGGTTGGCGGGGTTTTTCGCGTATTTTGACATCCAGCCTAAGAACTGCCAGTTGGATCGCCGGCGTGGAGGGTCTGGGGCTCCCCTTTCCCCCTCTCGGGGAGGGGGGGTTGCGCAGACGGTGGTGCGGCAACGTGATGACGTCATGCTAGTTTGATAATTTTGTTTGGGGAGCTCTGTCCACTCGTTTGGCTTTTGGTAGCAATAATTTTTCAGAATAGGGGTTTGTTTTGGCGTGCCTACCTTTCTGGGTGCCTGTCCTGGTCGATGGCAGACATAGAATGCTCCCAATCACAAGGGGTTTCTATAGGCCATTGCTCCTCGTGCCTCTCTGAGGGGGCCAGGTTCTGGCTCGTGGTCCCCAGTAGGCAAGAACTCCTAGCACTTTGACTGATGCCAGAAAGTTATACATATCCATTCAGCCTGGATAGCTCTGGGGAGCCTCCGGGACTCACCCAGAAAATGGTGTTTCATTACATTCAACGCTGGTTTTTTGCACGTTGGGAGGCCGCAGTGGTCACGAGCAGGAACACAATAATAATAGGCTTACTGCATGGGTGGTGGTGCCATTATGCCACATGGGCCATCACAGAAAATGGGAAGACGTTGGCACTCTTTTTGAAACAAATCCCCTAATGATTGGAAAAAAAGGAATTTTTACAAATATTTTAATTTGGGACGCAGTGTGCATTCTCACCCAGACTGACTGTATTGATGTGCAGATGCATTGTGAGTTATTGGCCAGGCAAAGTGGTAACAATCTTGAGTGAAAGAAATTTTAATAACAAATAAATGCTTTCATTGTATACTGTTATGAAAAAAAATTAATTTCTTTGTGATGTAATTTGAATTCTTCTTCAGGTCAACCAGCATGATGGAAGAAGTATGTACCATGGTTAAGCAGACATTCCCTAATGCAGTCTTAGATGAACAGTTTGAAGAACATCTCACCTATAAAGTGCCCCAACATGATATCTCAAGTTTGGCAAATTGTTTTGAAATGCTGGAGAAGAGTAAGACCTTTAATTTATATGTCCAATTCATGTAACATTTGTGCCTCCATGTTTGTTTGAAGCAACCATGGCCATAAGGTTTATGACATCATATAATGTGTCTCAATGAATCATGCAGCAACACTTTTGCGAAAATTAACTTGTATCAATATTGTGCATTGTGTATATGTGTGTGCATTGTGCCCTGTGTGATAATTATTTTATAGCATTGAAATATTACAAGTTAACACTTTTGCTCACCCCGCCCGCCACCCCTCAATAGTGCGATATGGGACCCAGGGTGTCACGGGAGCGCGCGTAAATTCTGAAAAGTGTATACTCTCTTCAACTTTGTCACCTTAATTCTCGTCCTACGAGATTAAATTTGGTATCATTGTGTTCGCAATAGAATTCTCTACAGCACTAAATGCATATAAACTCCAAAAGCCCGGCTAATTACCCGCAGCAAACAGAGAAAGTGCGAACGAGTTACCCAGGAGCGCGCAAACGCGATAAAATGTTTTCACTATTTTCACTCTGGTCACCTCAATTTTTGTCCTAGGTCTTTCATTTTGGTCTCAATGGGTTCGCAATAGAATTCTCTAGAGGAACATTAGCATATAAAATATAAAACCTGGTCACGCTCCAACCGCCGACGAGTTGAAGACGGGCCACTCGTTAGCCGCGAGTGAGCGCTCAGACGCCTTCCAGCTACACTCCCAATTCCCTCTCTTTTCAAGCCTTTCTTTCGCAATTTTCTTCCTGAAAGGGCTTTGTTCATGATCACTATCCATCGTGGAGTAAGCATAGATAGTTTCTAAAGCCGCAGTAAGAAATATAGCCACGGAAAATAGCCAAAATGTTCACACGTTTGAGATGCGAGGGGAGGCAACATTGGTCACAACAGTGGAGCGAAAGCAATGGGCCCACGGCGTGTGCCAAGCCGCCTGAGGGCCACGAGGCTCAACAAAGAAAATGGGAAGACATCGGCGCGCATTTTAAAACCAGTCCCAAAAAAATCGGATAAAAACCTGTTTTTTGGCGATTATTTAAAGTGGATGACGCAATGCTGCGTCATCCCCGGTATTACCGCCAGTAAACGGATGACGCAATGCTGCGTCATGCCCGGGCGAAAGTGTTAATTTCAGAAGTTAATTTACCCCGGTGCTGGCTACATTGCATCTGTGTGAAAGCAATTTCTCAGTGATAACACTTTTTCGAGCCATTTCAGATTTACTTTAATGAATTTCTTTGGGGAGCTCTGTCGGCTCCCTGACGTTATCCGAACTGATATGTGCTATATTAGTTTGGGGCCATCAGTCACGTGAGTCCTTATGCCTACCAGGAACCACAAGCCAGAACCTGGATCCCTCAAAGAGGTGCAGGGAGCAATGACCTTTGAGCACTTTACATTTAAAGTATGTCTTAATTGCCATCGAATTGAGAAACACCCCAGAAAGATAGGCGAAACAAACAGACCACAATCTGGTGAAAATTTGCAACCTATGTGCAAAAGGAGCAATGGAACTCTCCCATGAAAAAACAAAGATTCTCTCTCTCTCTCAGTTTTGTGAAGGACTTTATCTCCCATTCAGTATCCCGTGTCTACCCTTTTATTTCTTCCACCTAGTTTCATTACCTTACATTTATTTCAGTTGAACTTTAGTAGTCATTTGTTGGACCATTCCTTCAGCTTGTCTAGGTCATCTTGCAGCCTCATACTCTCTTCCTCTGTCTTAATCCTCCTCATAATTTTTGCATCAGCAAACATTGAGAGGAATGAGTCTATTCCCTCTGGGAGATCATTTACATATACTGTACAGTGACACCTCGGCTTATGAATGCCCCTTTTTACGTATTTTTCTGTGGGGAGCCCCTACGGCTCCCTGGAGCTTATCGGGCTAATGTATGTTATGTTAGACCGGGACATTAGCTAAGGAGTTCAGACCTACCAGGGACCAGCGCCAGAACCTGGCCCCTTCAGAGAGGTTTCAGGGAGCAATGGCCCTGGAAAACCCCATATGGTTGGGGGTTTTCCTTATCTGCCATCGACCGGGGTTAGGCACCCAGAAAGGTAGGCGTAACAAAACAAACCCCACATGGTAAGAAACTACAACAAAAACCGAACAGAGAGGTAGAAAACTCCCTACAATCCCAAGGAAACAAGCAAACAAGCAAACATCACACTTTACTGCCGCGCCGATCGTCCGCGCAGCCCTCCCCACCCCGGGAGGGGGAGGGGGGAGCCCCGGACCTACCGCGCCGGCTGCCAAGCTCCAGTTCGTTCGCTAATGTCAACCGGGATTGACGCTTCTCTGGCCTCAGTTTCCTAGGCGGTGTTTGCCTTGTGTGGCGTTCACTGCCGTGTGTTGTGGTGTGCGGTGGCCAGGAGTACTTCATCAGTGCCGGGGCTGCATGTGCTTAGTGGCTGACTTCCCTAAGCGCCCTGTGAGTACTGCCCTTGCGTAACAGGGTTATCTTCCCTGGGGCGTTCGGGAACCATTCCCGTGGAGGTTCTTGCTGCTCGGCATTTGCCTCGCCCTTGGGGCCAGCTGGGGCTTGGGGCCCTTGTTTGGCCCTGGGTAGGGATTGGTATTGTGCTGGTTAGGGCGTCAAGGTGTTGCGCAGCCTTCCACCTATGCGGCGCCCGGTTTCTGTTGCCTCTGGAGACGGTGTACTTTTGCGGGGTTTTTCTTTTGTTTTTCATTTTCTTGCCTGGTGGGGGTCTGCCTAAGGTGGTTATATTCCACTGGTAGTGTTTGGCGGCCCTCTGCTAGGCCCCCGTGCTTGTACACGTCTCAGGGGTTTTCAGTGCTATAATCTACCCTCTTGTTATGTTTGGGTTTCTTAACCGGTTAGCAACACCTTGCCCGGGCTTCCCGTAGTTGTTACCCTATGGGCCCTGGAAACCCCTGTCTGGGCTCGGGGGACCATTGAATGTGTCTTCCGGGTTCCAACCCGTCTTGAACGGGATCGTTGGTTGCTGTTCCCTTGTCTCCGGGTGACAGTCGCCATTTTTACCTCCGTCATGCTGCCTGTTGGGTCACTGACACCTTGACCCGGAGTCTTGCGAGTGATTCTCTGCTTGTTCTCCAGTACTCTCCTGATGTTATTACTGTTCAGAGTACAGGCGGCATCCATGTTGCAAACTAGGTTAGGTTGCTGCAACATGCTAGGTTGGTTTCCCACTCGAATGCCCCGTGGCCGCCCCGTTTGGTTAGGTGCTGCTCGCCCCTTTCTCTCCATGTTCCCGGCTCCGGACCGTCTGCGGGTTTCGGGGTCGGGGCAAGGTTCAGTTGCGGCAGAGACTCGGGCGGTTTTCGGGGGATGCCCCGTTCGGGTTGGGGACGGAGGTTTGAGCCTGTGCCTCCTGCCAAGGCTTCTGGGTCTTACCAGCGGCCCTTTTCTTGTTGCCTTTCCCATGGGCTCTTGCTTTTCTTTACGGGCGGAGGGCTTGGAGGACGGCTCTGCCCCGGGGCCTCTGTTGTTGGTTCCCGGGGCTGTGGGGGTTGCCTGCTAGCAGTTCTGGGGCGGTTTTGCCCCTTCAGGGGTTTTTCTGCTGTTGGGCGTCGTTTTTCGCCCTTCCAGTCTGCTAGCTTCCCACATTTGCTGGCGTGTTTTTGTGTATTAAGCGTCAGTCACAGCCCCTGCTGGCGGCCATTTTCGTCTGCCGGTTTCCCGGCGTGGCCACCAGGGCGGCGTTGCGGTTTGTTTACATGCGTCTGGGTGTGCGAGCGAGCGTCTCTGGTGAGTTTTCAAAAAATTTGCAGGGTTTTTGTTCTCCTGTTGTCGTTTCTTTGTTTTTTCTGGTGTTTTCTTGCCGTTGCCTGTTCCTCTGGGAACGTTTGGGTGTTGATTTTGGGTCTGAGCCTCTGGGTTTAGGCTCAGTGCCCCTGGCTGGTATGCTTGCTCCCACACCTTGCCCCTCGGTTTTCGGTCTGTTGGGACCGTTTTCCCAGGGCGTTCTGCTGGGGTCTGTGCTTTGCCTTTTAGTGGTGTTCTCCGCCGGCAAATGTGGTGGTTTGGGCTCCCCCTGGTTCGATTCTGGGTTCCTTTGGGTTCCTTGGTTTCGTTCTGGAGGTTTCTTCCTCTTGGGCCCCCTTTTGTGGGTTCAGGGGACTTTGTTTCCTCGTGTGACCCGGTTCTGCCTTTTGGGGTTCCGGGGTCTTCCTGGCTTGCAGACTGAGCTTTTTGGGTCTTGGCACATGTTGTGGTTGTGCTGGGACTTTGTGGTTTTGCTGTCGAGGTGGGCCTTTTGATGCAGTTTTGTGCCTTCTTTGCCTGGCCGGCGTAGTGCTCTTTGCCACTAGTCGGCGGCTTGTGCTTTTACAATATATGTCCTCACCTAGTTGTGCTTGTGGGGGTTGAGCTCTGGCTCCTTGGTCCTGCCTCTCAACCGTCCGTCGACAGGTGTATCGGTTCCTGTGCCTCTTCGGCTCTGTCATGTCTACATGTGACATTGTATGGGGGTCAGCCTCGTTACTTGTGTGAGGAGTCGCCACATTACTTCTTAGTGCTTTCCCGTTCCCATTCTGACAAAAAAAAAAAAAAAAAAAAAAAAAAAAAAAAAAAAAAAAAAAAAAAAACTTTAATTCTATCTGTGGCTCTTTTGGGTACTCAGTTTCCACCTGTGTCCCCTAGTGCGTGTGCCCCTTGTGTTACATAGCCTGTCCTTCTCAACCCTGTCGATTCCCTTGGGTATCTTGGATGTGGTGATCAGGTCTCCCCTCACTTCCTCTTCCAGCGAAGTGTGGTTTCATTCCCTTAGTCTCTCCTCATGACTTCGGTAGTGTACTTTTTCTTTCTGAAGGGGTTCTGTTCCCTTCTCTGTTGACTGGGCACTGGGGGAGCAGCTTGCTCTGTTGCCTCTCGCTTGGTCCCGCTGTTGGTGGGCGCTTTGGGTTGTCTTCCGGCCTCTGCTGGCGTCGGAGGACGGCTTCTCCCCCTTGGGGGGGGTTCAGAGCTGGCGGGGTGGGCTTCTTCCCTGCGCTTCGTCATTTCCTCTTCGTGGGTGCGGGTCG